ATTCTTCACAAGGCAAAAGTTTTTTACATCAACGGAGAAATAATCCAAGAAGCGCGTTTGGCATTCAAAATTGTCAGCCTACTTTCGTTAATCTCTTTTATTCAACTCCGATGTAAATGAGTGTCTAGCATTTGTCGTAGCACAATGGGTCAGAGTATCGATCCCTTACCCAGTCTGCGAAGTGGAGCAGTCTTCAGGTATGAGTAACATGAATAAATGTGGAGAGAAAAGTTTCTACAAACTTCAAAGAAATGTTGAGATAATATGAAAACATTGTAGCAGAACGGAGTGGTGAATTAACGGGACAATGGCAACACTCTTTCTTTCGAGTCGAATTATTCTAATCATCAAATCCTAAATTTCCAAGGATCAAAGATTTTGGCTCAATAATGGCGTACAAAAAATAAGTAGTTGAAAATTTATTTTCTATCGTCAGTAGTTCAACTTCTCGTTGAATGTAAAAAATAAAGCCTGGATGAAATATATTTCCCGTTTCATCCTAATAAAGTAGAGGATGTTCTCTCAAACCGTTGAAGTGGTGAGATATTTTAATATCATCTTACTCCACTTCTTCTTCCTCTCTTTTTTAATAAAGTCTCTGACCTCCCCCCACAACCGCCTTCACTGGTACATTCACAAGTTTCCAGTGGATTAAATTCGAAATTGGCTGGGGATCTCTCGCCTTAACGTTTCCATAGATAATAAACTATCGGAATTATCTCGAAAACTTGAGGATCATCATTACATCGCTGAATATAATGATCCAACAGTCAATAAATTTTCGCCTAAAATAAAAATATCATCGACAATTGAATATTATGCAAGGAATCATATTAGCGTCAATCATTTTACAATGAGTTTTATCTAGCCATTTGGATGAATTGAATTTTTTTTCAATGAAACGTGTACCGAGATGAGAGATTATCAGGTGGAAAATAAAAGTTTCTTTCAAAGGTCTCCATTGTCTTTTCGCAATTGACATGATGTCATTGAAAAAGAATATGTTCGATTCTGCCGTTTATTTCAACACTTTCGTTGAGATGATAATTCACGTGGGAATTTTTCATATTTCAGAAAATTAACTGTATAAATGTCGAATAATTAACAATAAAAGTCCAATATATTTTTGATGGGCAACTGAAGATGTTGAGGTTGTTCTGGATAATAATAATTCAATTTGGAAATGTGGAATGTCAATTTTTCAAATTCCTCGAGTTTTCTTCCCTTGAAAGCACATTGAACTCAGAAAGTATATCCGATACATATCTGGAAATATCCCATGACTTTCCAACTCCATCACTCAACGCGTCACGTCTACCTCCAACTTCCTCTCCATCCCCTACATTGCAATTTTCATTTTCAAGATATATTTCACCGGCAGTATGTAAGAACAATCATCTCTGGAATCCACTCAACAACTCATCACCTGTCGATTTTTCGGTATATATAGCCCCACGACTTCTCTCAAATACACCTGTCTGGTGCAGACTTTTCGATTACGCCGAAAAATTCATGAAAAAATTTGATTTCTCCATCATGCCCGCGTGAAGGAAAAATCGCACTTTTCAGCAGATAAAAAAACATCATCTCCGATTTCCACTTTAAAGCTTTATTAAACTATTTCAAAATACTAAAATAGTATTTTCTTCCATGAAGTTTTTTCATTTGCCAAAGAATGTTGTATAACTCAACGAAATGTTGTCTCTGACTTGTACACGCTCAAGTGGCCCCTTTCCAATAACCTTGAAACATCGCACATATTTTCTTTCCTCTCGTGTACTCATCCTCGTGACCTTCTTTGGTATCTCTCCAATTCTTAACCAAATTAGGAATATTATATGTGTTACACTGGAAATTGTGCAATTTAAGAAGAGACACACAAACTCCATAATAATGTCGCGGTAAATGACTCCATTCAACGCTTGATATCTTCATAATTTGTCCATCTAAATGACTCAAATTAATTAAGGTGCCTGTGTGATTCAAATTTAAACCACATTCGACTGCCATATGAACCACTTACTCAAAATGAAATTACTTAATTTTCGATTATTATTGTTAATTCCGTCGGGACTCGAGAATTGTGGAAGCTTTTCAATACTTTCATCAATATGTCAGGAATATTTGATATTCTCAATGCTAGTGAGGGATCAGTGTAATTAAATATTTCGAGCAAGGTTAAAGGTAGAATTTAGAATTTCCCACGACATAAAAATCAAATTATATAAGAATATAATCTCCAAAAAGTGTTTCCTCCTAAGTAAAAGCAGAAAATTTTGCCAGCACCCTCCAAGTCATTGCCAAATTCATTATACCCATCCATCCACAACATCACTCCACCAATCTCTTGGAATTTAATCGAGAAATGTCTCCTCACTCCGTAAACCAAACACTATCAGCCAAATCTCCCGGCTCCTACCACCCTCATTAATTAATCCCCAGCTTGACAATTAATCTCCTTCCCTCTAAAATCCGAAATATTATGATTCATCGAAGAAGAAAGTTTCACGGCTTGGCAAGATAGTTGCTCACTGTCGCATTCCGCGAGACCACCGTTAAGACTCGAAAAACTATAAAACATCCCCTGTAGTTTGATAACAGTTATACCCCGTCGCAGTAGAATCCCCCCTTCTAATAAAGCTCAACGTTTTCGTGCTACCCTGGCAGTTGCTTGAAGTATATAATGTTAGGTTGTAGAGAGAGTGGTGATGGTGCGATGGTGCAGCAGCTCGACGTCGGGCTGGGAGCGTTGGAAGCGTTGGAAGCGTTGGAAGCGTTGGAAGCGTTGGGAGCGCACCGGCAGCAATGAAGAGCCCCCCGATGTAAAGGTTCCCTCGTATCTTTAGGGATCTTGCATGCAAGTGTCCTCTGGGGGGGTGAGAAAAGCACGCGCCGATCAATAGGGGTTGGTGGTTGTGATGGTGGTGGTGCGCATGACATTGAACGGTAGCCAATCGTTCACTGCTAAAGGCGTCACGACGCGCCCCAAACGCCCTCGTCAGGTGGGGTACACCACCGACCGCGTCCAGGGACGAACACATCCTTTCAAAGTGCCCCCTACACCACCTCATTCTCTTTTCATATCCTCTCTTAAATTTTTTATAATCCTTGTTAATAATAATGAAGAAGGAGTTCTATAAAAATCTCACTTCTTCTAAAATCGTTACGAAATTATGAGGACCAATTGAACTTACTGTCAAATCAGAATCTGTTAATTTTTTAAACTATCAAATTGGAAAAGACACTCCGTGTTCTATTTCCAAACCCCTGAAAATTCATGACTGTCATTTACATTGCCGTCAATGCTCCTGACAAATGTTCCCACCCATTTAATATTTAACTAGAGAACTGAAACACCCCGTTCCAACTCTAGACTATTCAACAAGATCTAAATGTTATCATAGACGGGCTTTCAAATGAAATTCCTCTTAGCTCTTAGAAACTTGAAATGACTCAAGATATCAACATGAATACCGAGAAAATCCTCCATGAAAATTTTCCCACCAAATTAAATTATCACACTCAAAAGCTCACAGAATCACCCAACTGAATTCTCCGCTGATTTTCCACGACGGAAAAACAAGTTCCGTCGATCAACGTCTGACAAGAACACAACAGTCAATGCCCCGATGCCTCGAGGTCAAGGATGGCCATCGGTCTGCAACTTTATATTTCCCCTCCCTTCTGTCGATTCACCTGCAGGGTCGACAAAACAGGTGAAGGCGTAACGACCTTCGTGAACATTCACCTCTTCAATACTTGTCCACTGAAATTTCACGAAAACAAAGCGTTTTTCAACACGAGGTTACATCCATTAATGCAAGGCTATCCTATTACAGATACCAGAACTATCCATTGATTTATTATCCCAAGTAAATTATCTCATCGGATTTTCAATTCCAATAACATCTGCTGAATATCCAATCTCACCCTCCAAATTCCTCCACTGAATCATCAAAAACTGTTCAAGAACATTGCAATGCCTAGAGCTTTATAATCTACCTTCACCCAGGCTGATCACAATTATCGGAAAATTGATAATGCCTGACGTCAACAACGAATTTGCCTATTACCCTGGCTGAGGGTGGAAAATCATGGGGTATTAATACTCCAAGTCGTGTAAATTGAATGAGCTAGCTGGTGTAAAGCTGAATGAATCCAATTTAACCACCGAATCTCAAAAGAACTCTGAGAATTATCAAAATGACGAAAAATGAAAAATGGCTGGTGGAATACCGTAATCAATGATATCAACTAAAGCTCGAGATAGCCTCAAATCGATACTTGAATTGAAGTAGAGAACTTCAATTGCGTTATTTTTATCCCCTTCGATGCACTCCGAATACTGCTGATGAATTCTGGTGATGGCTCACATATTTCTCGTGATATATAGTGCCAAAATTGACTTCCATAATTAATTTGATAAATAGGTACAAGTATAGTGATTAGCAGTCAAAGATAAAGAAAGGAAAATCACTTGAAAATTGATAACCGAGAAGAATGTACAACAGGGCGCTTAGAATTTTACCATCACCCCTAACCGTTGAAACAGCGCAAGCTCACAGTTTAAAATTTGTGGCGCGCCGTATCATCGGTTGGTATACTCGAGCGTTGGTTCGTTGGTTCGTTGGTTGGCTTGGGGGTGGAAGTGTGCGACCTAAGCCGGTGTGGTTCGAAGGGAGAGGCGTCGTCATCCCCGAGCGCTAAGGAAATACAAACGTTATCGTACCAACCAGTGAGACCGCGCCTTTAACACCTCGTCTATTGAATTCCCATTATTATTGTCATCCTAGTCAACAACAATAGTCACAAACTACAGGACTTGTTCAACTCATTAAAATGTGGATGAATTGTTGAGTGGTGACGGAAATAACAAGAGTAAGGGCGCAACAAAACACTTTGAGGATAAACACTGACATCGCGTGGTAAAGTCATACCCCGGGGGACCCTGTCGATCATACCAGTTGGATAATTAGGCAACACGCTTGATATTAAACGGTGGATGATATCCCGAACGTACTTCACATGACGTTAACTTGAAGAGAAGGTTGTGAGACCCGCGGGAAATTAAACTGTATGCGCACATGACGCAAGTGGATCTGGTCCAAGTGTCGTCGATTCAGTGGCTGAGGACTGTTAAAGTTACTTGAACCTTCCGGTAGTGGACAAATTGTCAGGGTCATTGAGTGTCGTGAAGTTTCTCGAAAATTGACTGATGATCAAATTAGGCTGACTGATTTTAAATACATAGCTGCGGCCACATGTCGTAGCTGACAATGTCGCCGTGATATGTTACCCCGTAGCCACTTCTGGCGCGACTGCAACCTCTTCCCCGAGGAAGCACCGTTCATCCGTCACTATCACCAACGATTTAGCTTGTCTTTTCATCTCAATCATTCATTGTCGAATGGTTATCATCTGGTGCCGACGATCCAGGTGAAGCACAACAACCCGCTCCCCTATGTCGTTTGGTGGAGGACACCTGGATCTCTTCATCAGATCCAAGTCCAGCCATATCAGCATTATCTCCATCAGCAGCATCAACCAAATCAGCAGAGGCGGCGAGCTCAGAGGAATCGACGATATCGTCAGCATCGACGGAGGTTTCACAGGCGAGAATCATTCCATATCGAGGAAGAGAATCAGGCATCATCATCTTACCTGACTCAACGCCTCGAACATTATCAAGTGCAACGTGGAATGGAAACTAGGTGAGCTAGATTATGATGAATTTAATTTGAATTACACGAAGAGATCAAAAATGATTTCTTTCGCGTGTGGAGAAACTCTCGCCATTACGTTATAACCAGTAGTTGTAATGCACCTGGCATTATCAGTGGACTTGAGCATAATCCCACAATATTTACTTAATTCAATTTCAACATTAGGATTAAGAAAGTTTCGGTGAAACATTCGGTAACAGCCACTCGTTTGGGCGCGCACGTGCATTTATTCTGGTGACACGTATTGCAAGCTCAAAAGCAAATTTAAAATAACATGCGTCACGCTTCTTTACTCAAACAAAAGGTTAATTTCAACACAGTTTCGAGGTCATCGCCGATCTCTCTCTTCACTGTCGAATGGGTTGAGTGATTGTAATAAAAATCCCAATGGAGAATAGAGGGACAAAAATGCCTAATTACTGATTGTACTTTGGGGCTCGGTATCAAGTGAGTCGAAGCGACAAGTGAAAAGAAAGAGAAAAACAATGTATGGAGCAGTGATATTGGCCTTCAATTACTCTCGATTTGATGGTTGGTATCGACACGGCGTGGAGTCACGCACTGCGATTACGAGTCGTCGATCGCAGGAGGCGATGCCACTTGGGTACAATGCCTCGACCTCCCTTTTCTGGAGAAATGAGGCGCGAGAACCTCCACGAGATAAAGAAAGCGAAGGCCGTTTTTGATCGGTTAACCACTCGAGTTGATGCGATAAATAAGGTTTAACCATTCCTCCGCTGGAAGTTGCTTTATTATATTCTAAAGTTAGGGACAATTATGATGACTTATTTTGGTCTGGCAAAAATATTCAAATAATCTTTCTCCTTTGCATTTTCAGAAATCGAAGAAACCCAGTAATTTCTAGTTTTCCAGCAAATATTTCCTTGATCCAAGCTGAACTAACATCCCTCGTCGACTATTCCTGAAAATATGAATTATTGCCAAAATGGTTGGTTCTGAAGAGCAGAGAGGATCTCCAGAGGTTCTACAGGAAAAAGAGCAGAAGGAAAGATGGCGAAGGCTATTTCTGATCGACTGAGCAGCTGGGTGAAGGCGAAAGCCTGAAATTCTCTACTCTTCCGTTCTTTCCGTCCCTGAAATTCTCCCTTCATTTTTTTACAGCCCGTATTTTTCTCTGGATGTTTCTTTCTTTCCCCATCCGCAGGCGCTGGATGTTTGTTGGGTTTATTCTCCTCTCGTTTGGCCCTCAGGGCCGATTCTCTTTCTCCAGTCGGCCTTCGGAAATGTATAGATCGCCGAGTGATGGATAAACTCGCAGGGGGAAAAAAACTGTATAAAAGTGGCGGTCATTATTCACATTTTTCTGTGAATCTTCCTCTTGAAATTAGAAAGGTACGCATCGGATGTATTATCCGATGTTATCGGATTAGTCAGAGAGACCATGACTTTTGCTGGATTATTTTTAATTATCGCGAGATGGAGATTGTCTGGAATTTCTTCATTCCTGGTTATTGCGTTAGTCTGATAATGGACAGAATGTTTTCCTCATTTTTGTCATTCTTTCGCAATCGCTCCAGACAAATAATTTTCCACTTCGGTACACGAAGACTCTCTAAATGAGATCAACTGACTTATTTAGTGCGTGTTCTTTTCCACAACATGAATTTCAAAAGAATTAATCAACACATTGTTGAAATATTTCATACTGACCACGCGCGCTAATCTTCACTCTAAACAGCTTGCTGTTGCCTCATTGATAATGACAATGAGATACCAATGAAACTCATTGTGAAATACGTCAGTGTATTCTTCAGACTTGAGGGCGTGCTCATTTATGAAAGTGTCAACTGACAATATGCACGAGTGAACTGCGTAAAACAGCGAATGCACACGTCTCAGACAGATTCTTCCAAGACACGTGCACATTTCCATCGGGAATTCATTAGTCCTGAGTGTTAGCCATTGCACCTCAAAGATTTCTGGTTCAATCCGTGAGATATATCCCTTCATGATGAGAATTTGGATTTTCTCTGACAAACAGAAAGAAGTAGAATAAGAAGTACCTGTCAAAAAAACCCAGTAGAACGATTCAATGCGCTCACAAACAACAGTTTCCTAGTCTTTGAGTAAAACAAAAAACCCCCAGTTTTATACTTTTTCCGACATTTCAGGAACTATTGAAGCAAATCGAATCATCATTCAGACTTTTCCAGAACTAATCCCGCCTTCTACCAATCCATCCGGAAAAAAAAGTTCACTTCATTTCCACTGCATCAACTCCAATCCAATTCCACGAAAAAAAATTATTTTCGAATTTTCACAACTCTTTTTCGTGAAATACCTCATCTTACTCAAATAGAGACGAATCTATGGCCAAATGGCTCAAGATCAATGATTCATCAAGGCCTCTTGCCAATATCTAATTATTAATATACTGTGAATACCGCGTTTTCTCCATGATGATGTCCCATAGAATCGGTGCCGCCACATCGGGCGCCCAACTGAATGAAATGATAAAAGAAAAAAAAAGAAAGAGGGACTGAAGCAATAGAGAAAGGACCGAATTGAGCCTCTCGAGGCCCACGTCTCCTTCTCGATCATTTTATTTTTCTTATCCTCGGTCCTTGGCGGCTGCGAATCCCACTACCATTGGCTCTCGATTTAATGAAGGAATCTCGAGAGGTAACTCTGAGTATCCCAAGACCTCACTAAAGTGCGCTCCTATTTTCTCCAACCTCTGCACCGGGAAAAGCTTTACCCGAATCCCAATATAATTCCGATCTTGAAGTCAGCCTCCCATGAATAACTTTCCGTACGCCTCTAACGTCTTATTTCACATTTATCTTCATATCTTCCAGCATTCAAACATCCCAACATTTATCAGGGAATATTGCGACCAGGAAGTAAATTGTTGGATTAACAAAATTCATGGTTATGGTCCGGAAAGTCGATTTTTGCGGGCAATTGCACGGAATTTTGGTTTTTGTTTCTCAATTGAGGCAATTTATTTACCAGAGAACATAACTGATGATATCAACTTAATTTTATGAATGCGAAATCAGTTCCAATTTTCACCAAATTAATTCATCATCCCGAAGTGATAATAATTTCAATGAATTCGGGCTTCGCAAGGGATATCATTTTTTAAAATCAAATGCTACGGTTAAAATTTTCATTTTATTTTCCCATTTATTTTTTTTTTTTTTAATTTTCACCCATTATCCAGCAAACCGAAAAATCATAACCAGGGAAACTCTATTAAAATTAAATTAATCATCGTTACGGCAATGCAGAGAGGAGATGGAATTAAAATCGATAAATTAATTCTGTAACGCAGCAGTGACGAAGGAAACCACCGAGGGAAAACTTTTCCCACCAGATGATGAACGGAAGGGTAAAAAAGAAAAAAAAAAAAAGGAGAACCCATGCCACGATATCTCCCTGGATGCTAGGAATGGTGATGAAAAGCCCCAACTAGTAGCTCGGTTTCTTCTCAGTTTTCTTCACCGCAAGTTGAAGCCTTCATAGAGCTTCTCTCCTCTTTCCCCCACAACAAACTTCTCTGTCTCGATGAAAAGAAATTCTCCCCTGCAAAACATATAACAACTCTATAAGTAATAGGAGGAAACGTCTCGCCGTCTCTCAGCAAATTTCCTTCTAATTATATTCCAAGTTTGTTTTTCTACTGTCGGATCTTCGCACCGTTAATGTTCGAAAGAGAAATGAGGAAATCAGTTGATTACTTTATTATTCCGTTGAGGGTTTGCGTTCAAGACTCAAAGGGAGAGAGATATTTATTTCACTGAGACAAATCGACATTTCACGGAAAAAGTCAATGTAAATATGGATTCTTTTGGTTTGGTCATATTGCGAATAGCATTAATTGGAATAACAGCCGAGAGGCGAGTTACAATATATCCCACCCAAACATCCGTGATCCAAACTTTATAATCCATCCGGTCAAGCTATACATACGCGGACTAACCATCATTTCCACTGGCTCGTCTACTCGTTCATAAATTATTAATTCTCCCCAACGTTCAATGCGTTTATACAAACTTTCTCAATGAAATCCCCACCATCCCTCCACAACTTCCACCCACTCCCACTCACTCTTCGTTGGCTTGATTAAATAAAAGAAAAGCACATGATCCATCTGTTGCATAACCATAATGGTACTAATGAAATTTATCATTCGGACTAGCCAAATCAGAATATTTTGCACATCTCATTTCGGGAATTTCCAGTACCATGACCATGCCATCTGCTCAAAAATTACCAATCACCAAAAAGTAGATCATGGATCAATGGACATTAATATCCATCGAAATGGATGTCAAAATCACCCTCGGAGAATTAATGATTCCAACAAAACCATAATAACAGACTATCCAGCCGATTCAGTAAAACGAGCTCTCTACGTGAAAAGAATTGAAAAATCTTGGTTCGTTTTCAGCCGATGTGAACAGGTTTTCTGGAAGGATGCATTCATGCGAATTCGGCGGTGAGGTATGGGGTACGTGCAAAAGGTACATTGAGAAATTGTGCTCAAAGTTAACTTTACGTCTTGACTATAATGAAGACCGTTGGTATTATTTTCCAGCTGAGTTTACAACGCAGAGAGAATGAGTATCACTGCTTTAAAGCAGACGAAACCCAACGTTGCCATGTAGGGTAGCTCCAGGTTTCCACTCTTCTATCGACCCACCAACGTTGCCAACTCCTTTTCCTTTATCATTCTGTCTCTCCACTTGTCTCTCTTCTTCAAACTCTTCTGTCTCTTATCCTCCATTGCCCTCCCATCTACATTCTAACCTACTATTTGTACTTCACCTATACCTAAGAGATTTTTTTTCTCCTTTTTTTTTTCTTCTTTCAAGTCCGTCCCTTTCATACATTCCTCTCCCTCCGTCTTTCACCTTCATCCACCGACACAAACCAGAACTCGCTCTTCCACACGTTTCGTTGCCGATCAACAGCTGTTTCAACGATCAACCTAGTGGAGCAGATGCCGCTCAAATGAAAAA